TCAAACTATAAGAACATTAGAAAATGCAGGAGACACTCTTATGGAAATTGGAACTGGCAACTAATTCCTGACCAAAACCCAAAGTGCCCGTGCCATAAGAGATAAGGTAGACAAGTGGGACCTCATCAAACTGACAAGCTTCTGCAAAGCCAAAAAAACCATCCAGAGAACAGGGAGACAGACCACAGACTGGGAAAAAATATTTGCCAACTCCATGTCTGACAAAGGCCTAACATCTAGAATCTACAAGGAACCCAAACATGCTAAAAAGAAAAAAACAAACAGCCCCATTACAAAGTGGGCAAAACATATGAATAGACAATTCTCAAAAGAAGACATATGAGCAGCCAACAGATACATAAAAAAATGTTCAACCTCACTAGTCATCAAGAAGATGCAAATTAAAACTACACTGAGATACTACCTAACTCCAGTCAGAATGACCATCATCGATAATGCAAAAAGTAACAGATGCTGGAGAGGTTATGACGAAAAGGGAACACTTCTACACTGTTGGTGGGAGTGCAAACTAGTACAGCCTCTATGGAAAATAGTGTGGTGATTCCTAAAATTTCTAAAAATTGACCTTCCATATGACCCGCAATCCCCCTACTGAGAATATACCCTGAAGAACTCAAATCACTCTATGAAAAAGATACCTGCACACATATGTTCATCACAGCATTGTTCACAATAGCAAGAACATAGAACCAGCCACATGCTGCCCATAAAAGAGGACTGGATTAAAAAAAATGTGATACATATACACAATGGAATACTACGCAGGCATAAAGGAGAACAAAATCATGAATTTTGCAGCAACCTGGATGGAATTTGAGTCTATAATACTGAGTGATCTTTCACAGAAACAAAGAACTGAGTATTACATGTTCTCACTCATAAGTGGACCTTGAACAACCACTGCAATACTATAAATACTATTTTAAAAAAATGACTATAGCGGGAAACTGTAGGGGGGGTAGGGAGGCAGGATTGTTAGTAGTGAAAATCTGCCTGGGGAAGGGGGACTCATCTCATCAACAAGGGTACCTGCACAGTGAATATTTGTATACCTAACCCTGAAATGTACCCCACAATTTTAAAATTAAAAAAATTTTTAAACTTAAAAAAACAATAAAAATAATACAGAAATTTGCCATGTGGATAAGGCAGACTTCATTCTAGGGAACTGAATGTGCAAAGACTCAGCGGCATCTAAATGTTGTCTTTAAACTTTTTACTTAAAACATTTGAATTACTAACGTCCTTAGGAATTGCCTATTTGGTAAGTAGGATACTGAGATAGGGAAATGAAGAGATTTGCCCAGTCACACAGTCAGTTGATACAGCATCAAGACTTAGACACACACTCAACCAAAGCTACTTCCAGTCTGCTATGCTGAATAGACAGTGACATATTGGTTGATGGTGCAGCTGACTTGCCCTAGTCCATCAATCAGAGGAGTTCTCATCTGTCTTGCCACGCCACTCACTTGATAAAGTCTTTTAGCTTTTTTATTATTTGTTGTCTAAGGAAAAGTGAGATGGAATGGAAAAGAACACCCATAAAGATCTGCAGACAAGTTGGGAAACTTTGACTCTAAAGTAATGCATTTAATTGAATGGCTGACCCACTGTGTTGGGTCAGAGCCACTTTGTTACTTTGGAAGAGATTATAGAGTCATGTGGGACTTTTGGACTGGAGTTAGCATGCCAGATGAATCACAAGAGGAGGAGGAGGAGGTTAGCAGCAGTGAAGGAGTGTGTAATCAGAGTGGGAAGCAGGGATCCCGTGGGGAAGTGGACACTCAGCTTCCTCAGATATGGCTAGTCCTAGCCAATATTCCACTAATTGGCTGGTCTTACTTGTACAGACATTTAAGGAAATGAGAATGATCTCACCTGAGGCAAACCCCCATGTTCCCTCTGGCCTCCAAACCACAGCCTTCACCAGCAACTCTTAAATTAAAATTGTAAACAAGCAACAACAAAATCAGTCTTTGGCAGGAAACCTTGTGCAGAGGTGGTGTTTACACGCATTCATTTGCACTCTACATGGAAAAAAGTGCTTACAATACCAAGAAGAATGCAGTCATGAGAGATCAGATGCCAAGAGGTATAGCCTCTGCCAAGCAGGAGGATAAGTAGCTATTAATTTCCATAAATATCCTCTGCTATAATGTCTGGTGTGGTTTGGTTGCTCAGCTTTGACTGTGTCGACCATCTGCCCGGAAAGCAGGCACAGTGGCCTCAGATAGGTATTTCTTCTCTCCATGTCCCCGATGTGTGCAATGGATGTGTTGGACATAATAATCCAGTTTCTTTTTTAGTTTCTATGGGTACAAGAGGAAGAATTTAATTATAAAGCACAACATGTTAAACATTTATTTGCTCCTCTATGACTTCATTCATTCAGTAAACATATGCTGTGCTTCTACAATACTCAAGGCTCTGTGCTAGGCACAGAAAAAGCAAATGTGATCACTGACTACAGGAAGCCCACCATCTAGAAGAAAAATCTAGATGTACACATACAAAATTATACCATGTAGAAACAATGGATGTCCTAACAGATTTACAAATGAGTTACTGCATAAAGCATTTTTTTGTGGAAAAAGTACAGTGTAAGCAAAGCTTGAGGTACTGGGAAGCACATGGTGAATAGAGACCCATTTCCCTCAAATAGAGGCCACCAAAGGGCCAGGCATGGAAAATAAGTCCTTGTCTGGACCCTCCTCACTCAAATGCCAACATACATCTTAAAATGCTACGTAGTTTTTTTGAACGAAATACCTTTTACAAGTAGCCACTTCTAAAGATACATAAATAAAGCTAATCATCTCTATGTTACCAGAATATACTTCTATGATAGTCGTTACCTTAATACATAATCATCTTCTTGTCTGTCAGCTCCACTAACATATATTCTGTCTTGAGGGCCAGCCTAGTCTTATCTGTCTTTATTTTCCTTGTGATTGGCTAAAGTCACTTGTAGTAGACATGAATTAATGATTGTAGAACACTAGGAGGGTTGGGAGAGAGCTTTGGGTGTGGGACATTTCCAGAAAAAGCCATATTTATCATCCAGCTTTCTGTCTTCCAGCATGTCATCCAGCATGCTTTCATGTCTTGTTTAAATATTCACAAATAATTACAACTATATATTGATTATATACCATATACAAATATAATTCACATGTCATACGACATGTATTGCACACTATTCTAATATTTTATTATCTAACCCAAGAGTAAAATGTGGTAGTCTTAGGAAAGGCAAGAAGCATGGAAACATTCACTACTGGTTGAAAGACACAGCTTCGTGCTACTGAAATATGCTTTGGCTAAAAGTGCAGAATTAAAAACTTCCAAAACAACCAACATTTGAATCAGCCAAAACAGTTTAAAAGTTCAAATGAGCTGTTTTATGGCATGACTATTTATGGACTTTCTTGCTGTCTGGGGAGGGTCACTTAAACAGAGAGTCCTAAAATGCTGGAGCCACAGCGACCTAGGGTTGACCTAACCTTGTTTTGCCTTTTTTCCAGATAAGGAAACTGAGGCCCACAGCAATAACAACAACTGTGGGATGATATCACTTAGTATAAAAAAGATAAGTGAATAATTGGGACCTCCACACTTAGTAGTTAATTTTAAAAATCACTTCTAATGATCTTCACAGAACAAAGAAATATATTTTCCATATTCAAATATGGTAGTGATTTCTATAAAAAAGGGTGTCCCAATCCAATAGAGCATAAAATATAGTTTAAATATCATCATGCCTTATTCCTGAACAGTAATGTGTAATGGAAAGAACTATGGAGCACAGTGTTGTAATCTAAATGCTTCCCAGGTGTGCTCCCTTGGGGACGTTACATTACTTCTCTCAACCTCAGTTTCTTCATCTGTAAGCAGTAGATACTTGTGTCTATCATACTCAGTGGTCGCGAAGATGTAATGAGATAGCATTCTTAAAGGACCCTGCGCGACACCTAATGTAGACTTAATAAGGGTGGGGGGCACTCGGGTTACAGTTGGCTACAGGTGAGGTGATGTTTCATTTCCCCCCACTATCACAAACTGCTCTGTGCCGCCACAAAACTAGACATCCCTCAGGCATGGGTGAAGTGCTACTTCCTCACTCCCTTAAATGCCCCTTTGTGCCCTGCGGATACTCCATGCATGCTAACCACCAAACGAATGGATGACTCAGAGCTTGGAAACAATCCACTCCAGGCTGGAAAGCAAAGGCGCAGCTTATGGCTCAAAGATTAAGTTGTTACCTTTTAAAATTAGTATTACTTTTCTTTAAAGAAATGGGGACACCCTTTCAGCACTGAGGGAAAACCTCAGAAACTGTTCCTCCAGAAGATCCAGCTGAGAAGTCCCGCGCCACTTAAGCGGGGCATGAACAATGTCAGAGCCGCTCCCCTGTAGGGCACTGGGGCTGAAACAAAGATGCCTCCGGGCAGCTGGGAAAAGCTGGCTCCCACATAAGAAAACCAGGACTGATCTGTGCTCCCAGGATGGGCCCCACCTGCCGAGAACTAATCCTGGGTTATCGCCTTGCTGGCCCAGAGTAAACCCGAGACGCCCCAGGCTTTTGAAGGGCTTTATCTCCTCTTTCCAGGAACTCGGCTCAGCCCCTGGGCTATCCCTGAGGTGCCACTGAGCAGCTGCCGCCCAGATCCCGGGCATGCCCGGGTCGCGTTTCCAGCTCACCCGGGTAGAGCGCCGGAGCTAGGGCTGCCCATCCTGCGTGCTCTCGCCCGCCGGGATCCCGGCTCACAATAAGAGCACGCGTTTTGGGGAGCAAAGCAAGAATCATACTTCACTAACAACTCCTGTGATTGAAGGGGCAGGAGGCGCGGGGGGAGGGGGGGAATTCCTACTTTCGCCATAAATTGTATGCAAATACGTTCCTTCCCTGGCCGAGAGCCAGCAGCGAGTGCGTCTTTCATGAGCTAACCCTGTTCCGCTGGGAGGGCTGTTCCTTTAATTCGCCAACTGAAAAAGTGGGAAAGGATGTCTGGAGGCGAGGCGTCCCGTTACAGAGGAAGGAGCTCGCTATATAAGCCAGCCAAAGCTGGCTGCTCTGGCCACAGCCTGCCTACTGTCACCCGCCTCTCCCGCGCGCAGACACGCGTCCCCGCCCCTGGTCTGCACAAAGCGCGGCTGGGGGAGCCCTGGGGGCCACGCACGTGGGGACCCGCCGCCGCTCAGGGCCAGGTGCTTCTTCCATGGATCTGGGTCACTCAAGGACCTAGTCTTTCCCACTGCGGAAAGGTGAGTCCCTTTCACCCCATCACCAGAGATTCTCAGGGTGTTGTACTCCTGCATGCCTGTGTACCAATGGGTTGTGGTTTTATAATTACATAGCTTTGCTTGGTTTTTCCCGCTGGTCAAAGGGAGTGTGTGTTGGTTATGATCGGATGCACCTTGACTGTTCTTTTCTTGCCTTCCCAACCCTACCCCCTCAGGTCTTGTTTTTTGTCTTTTTTAGTTCTATGAATAGTCACACTTGGAAGGAACTTTTTGTAGAGTTTTTACCTCTGAGGTTCTGTAGAGGAAAAGTAAAAATTTTCTCTTAACCCCCGGTCTAGCTGATTCACCTGTGGATTTTTTTTTTTTTTTAATTTGAGGGTCAGGGAAGTAGAGTTATAAAGTGGAGTTTGTTCACAGTCTGACCCTGGGATGAGCTGGGGGGAGACTGATAGAGGATTGTAAGGAGAACAACACCTTTTCACATCAAAACATCCCTTACAGTTTACAAAGTGTTTTGTACCCATTCCCTCCTTTGAGCTTTACAACATGTACCCTGTGGTGAGAAATGAAAAGAGATGAGGGTTGGGACAGAAGAGAGGAGGTAACTTCCAGGGCCAGATGAAAAACCACAACTAGGTGACAATGGCAGGCACCAGCTTCATTTCCTAAGGGTGGGGGACTTGGTGTGCATACTTCCTGATCCCTAATCCTCAGGTGGGGGTTACACATGCATGTCTGGGGTGCTTAGAGCTAGTGGTATCCCACATCGCTCTAGAACCACCTCTCATCACAGAAAGTCCCAAGAAACAACCTCCCCCAGGTACTGGAAAGCCTACCTCCCCTGGTGGACTTTGGAAAAAACAAAGGGGTTCCTCTCACCCATCAGGGTTGTAAGGGAATTAAGCACTCAGGTTTTGAAGCCAGAGGTAACTTTGATATTCCCCGCCACCACCACCACGCAAGTGACCCGAAAAAAATTCGTAACCTCCTGGAGCCTCAGTTTTCACTTCTCTAAGATGGGGACAGTAACTTCTGTTGTCGTTATTAGGGAAAAATAAAGTATAAAGAGTTTGGCAGTGAGTGCTCAATAACTGAATGTTTGGATAATCACTGTCATTGCCTAAAACTGCCATCACTGTGGAAGTTAAAAGAGAAGTTAGCCAACCTTGGATGGTTTCCTATGCGTTCCTCAGCCGGCCACAAGCCCTCACCTTCCACTCTTCCCCTTGCTTACCTGGCTCCCTTGCCTTTCCACAGACACTTCAGGTGTGCCCCAGCTAGACCTGAATGTCTCCCTCTTCTCAGCCCCCAGATAGCTACACAGCAAGCTTCCTCATCTCCCTCATGTCTTTGTCAAATGTCACCTTCTCAATGAAGCTTAGGTTGGCCACCCTATTTAAAATTTTACATTACCCCATCTCCACAATATAATAAGGAGTAAGGCAAACCATGTTCCTGACCTCAGAGAATTTGTAGTTTATATGAGGGAGAGTTGTTTAGATTAATTGTTGCCCAGAGAGCTAAGAGAAATTTTAGCTAAGTCACCTTAGGTAGACAAGAGAAG